TGGACACATGCCTTCATCAGTACAAAAACAAATATTTAAATAAGTATAAATTAAATTTACATAATATATATTTACATTTATCCTACCTAAAATTAGAAAATAATAAGAGTGGGCGAAATCCGAGACAAAAACAAAGTTAAGAAGAACGGGAAGGATGTAAGGGGAAGTAAAATCTAAATACCAAACAGGAAAAAGACATGACAGGTATGTAAAATTGTGGATAAGTTTATACCGCGAGGAGTCAACGTAGCAATTCTTGTTTTTAAATTCTTTTTTCATATAAATCTTATCCGATGTTTTACTTGTATACAATATACTAGTGTTTACCAGTAGTGTGTATAAGACTTCCCTTTGGTAGTCCCCCCCCCTTTTTTTTTTCAAATTCATCTAGATGAAGAGCTTGTTCAAATGCATTGGACACGACAAAGGGCGCAATAATGTGTATTAAGTTTGAGCTTGATCCATCCATTCATGCGAAACACTCAAAGGCTAGAGACTATCTAAATTTGCCCACTATAATGCTTTAAGTCAGGGGACACAAACTCGCGGCTCATTTGAAGCCCGCTAGACGATATTTTGCGGCCCGCTACATGACAGCAAAGTTTGGTGTTAATGTAGCCCGTGCGTTTACCTGAGTACCATATCAATTATCCGACCCTCCGCGACGGTTTTAAGTCGAATCTCACCGACTATATTCTAATTCTGATTTGTATTTCGTGTGTAAAGGTTTGGACGATGATTAGAATGGTAAAACCGCTTTAAAATCGGACTTTTATTTTTATATCATTTTATGAGACAAACATGGCGGCCACGGTGCGCTTTTGAAAAAACACGCTTCGAATATTTGATATACATGGTTATATGAACAGTTTAATAAATTAAGTTAATGGGTAATGCACAACCAAAATCGTGTATATCGTAGCTCAGGAGATATTCCCCCAGCTGTATGATGCCGTTGAGGATGCCGGTTTACCGTGAAGAATTTTTCAGGTATAACAACCGACGGGGCGCCACCAATGACACGGAAAATAAATGTACTCATGGCAGACGTTCAAAGAAAACTAGAAGAGGAGGGTGTGGAAGAGCCCGTTGCTCTACACTGCATTATCTATCAGCAGGCACTTTGCAGCAAATCCTTAAAGTATAAAAAATGTGAAGTCTGATGTTGTGAAATGCATCAACCATATCAGATCCAGGGGCTTAAAGCACCGTCACTTCCGCGTCTTTTTAGAAGAAATAGGCTCAGCATATGAGGATGTTATCTAATTCAACGAGATACGTTGGCTTAGCACGGAAAACTTCTTGAAAAGGGTGGTTGTTGTTTGTTAGTTTTAGTTGAGAGCAGAAATCAAAGCATTCGTGGAGAGGAATGAGGTGGTTGTTCCCGTACTAAGTAATCCAAAATGGCTCATAGAATCAATATACTCAACAAGAAGTTACAAGGCCATGGGCAGCTTTTCAGTGTTTCCTATGACAATGTCAGGCACACAGCTTGTGTTATGGAAAGCCCAGCTTTCTCTGCCGATTCCCAACATGAAAAATACTCGTGGACTCGGGCACACCCTTCAGTAGTAAGTATACTTATGCGATTGCAAAGCTACAGAAAGAGTTAGATCACAGATTTGAAGACTTCAAACACACTGATCCACTTTTCAAATTTTAGCTGACCTTTTCTCGTTGAATGTGGAAGATACCCCACACATTTTGTGCTTCAAATGATTGATCTTCAGTGCAAATCTGAAAACAAGGGTAAGTTTTAGGAGGTGAATCGAAAAACATCGGCTTGGACAATTCATAAGAGACTTGCCCTCCACCTTCCCTGAAATTTCCATCTGGACGATTTCTTCAACTTTCATACCAACCTCATATGGACGATTTCTTCAACTTTCATACCAACCTCATTTGGACGATTTCTTCAACTTTCATATCATCCTTATCTTGAAGATTTATTCAACTTTCTTATCAGATATTCACTCTCGGAAAATCCTCACACATATTCAACCTCTTAAATTTCATAAAAGCAAATAAAACTGAAATGAATAAAAGAAATAATATAAATTAAAAAGAAGAAAAATCATGCTTATCGGTGATGGGAGAACATATTTATAGGTACATGTCAGAATAAATGTGTAAATGACTTTGGGGTTGGGTCGGGGGGGGGAGGGGAGGTACACAGCCTGACTTTAAGGTAGATAAAAAAAACTTGGTCTCACTCATCCTGAGAAGGCTCGTCCTGGGAAGATAAAAGGAGTTAAACAGAGTGGGGTTAAACCTGAAAAAATAAACGCAACAAAACAGCAAACGTGTCGGCAGAAAGCCTTCGTCAGCGAACAAAACAACAGAAAAACGGTATAAAAATAAAAATAAGAAATAGCACTTCGCTGGTAAGTAGTATCAGTGGTTAGATTTGAAGTAGAGTGGACCTATAAGAGGGGATGGTTAGATTTGAAGTAGAGTGGACCTATAAGAGGGGATGGTTAGATTTGAAGTAGAGTGGACCTATAAGAGGGGATGGTTAGATTTGAGGTAGAGTGGACCTATAAGAGGGGATGGTTAGATTTGAAGTAGAGTGGACCTATAAGAGGGGATGGTTAGATTTGAAGTAGAGTGGACCTATAAGAGGGGATGGTTAGATTTGAAGTAGAGTGGATCTATAAGAGGGGATGGTTAGATTTGAAGTAGAGTGGACCTATAAGAGGGGATGGTTAGATTTGAAGTAGAGTGGACCTATAAGAGGGGATGGTTAGATTTGAAGTAGAGTGGACCTATAAGAGGGGATGGTTAGATTTGAAGTAGAGTGGACCTATAAGAGGGGATGGTTAGATTTGAAGTAGAGTGGACCTATAAGAGGGGATGGTTAGATTTGAGGTAGAGTGGACCTATAAGAGGGGATGGTTAGATTTGAGGTAGAGTGGACCTATAAGAGGGGATGGTTAGATTTGAGGTAGAGTGGACCTATAAGAGGGGATGGTTAGATTTGAGGTAGAGTGGACCTATAAGAGGGGATGGTTAGATTTGAGGTAGAGTGGACCTATAAGAGGGGATGGTTAGATTTGAAGTGGAGAGAACCATGAGCTAAGAAGAGAGAAGCGGAGTACGCCCAGTGAGCGAAGCCGGAGAGAGTTGGTCGGACGGAGGGCGGGCCGGAAAGACTAGTGGCCAGGATAGACATGAGGGGACACTAGCCCGGGACAGTCAGAGCAGAATTGCAAGGTCATGATTTTCGAGCAGAGCCAATATAGTGAAGTCTAACACAGTCAATGTTTGTTGCAGAAAGAGAGATAGAGTGAAAGAGGTTACCGTCCACAGGAAGTAAATTGAGAAATGAGTTGAGATAAGGACGATTTTCCTTACAATATTATGGTTTGACTTAATATTATGGTTTGACTTAATATTATGGTTTGACTTAATATTATGGTTTGACTTAATATTATGGTTTGACTTAATATTATGGTTTGACTTAATATTATGGTTGGACTTAATATTATGGTTGGACTTAATATTATGGTTTGACTTAATATTATGGTTTGACTTATTATGGTTTGACCTATTATGGTTTGACTTAATATTATGGTTTGAATTAATATTATGGTTTGACTTAATATTATGGTTTGACTTAATATTATGGTTTGACTTAATATTATGGTTTGACTTAATATTATGGTTTGACTTAATATTATGGTTTGACTTAATATTATGGTTTGACTTAATATTATGGTTTGACTTAATATTATGGTTTGACTTAATATTATGGTTTGACTTAATATTATGGTTTGACTTAATATTATGGTTTGACTTAATATTATGGTTTAAATAATTATGGTTTGACTTAATATTATGGTTTGACTTATTATGGTTTGACCTATTATGGTTTGACTTAATATTATGATTTGACTTAATATTATGGTTTAACTTATTGTGGTTTGACTTAATATTTTGGTTTGACTTAATATTATGGTTTGACTTAATATTATGGTTTGACTTATTATGGTTTGACTTAATATTATGGTTTGACTTAATATTATGGTTTGACTTAATATTATGGTTTAAATAATTATGGTTTGACTTAATATTATGGTTTGACTTAGTATTAATTTTCACACCTGCACCCAACTAAACAATAATAATTTCTACTGTTAAAAAAAAAAGGGAAGAATGTTAACTTTCAAAATCACATTACACTGTACCCTATGATATTACATTGTACCCTATGGCATTACACTGTAGACTATGACATTACACTGTACCCTATGATATTTCACTGTAAACTATGACATTACACTGTACACTATTACATTACACTGGACACTATGACATTACACTGTATCTTATGACATTACACTGTACACTATGACATTACACTGTACCCTATGAAATTACACTGTACCTTATGACATTACACTGTACCCTATGACATTACACTGTACCTTATGACATTACACTGTACCCTATGACATTACACTGTACCCTATGACATTAAACTGTACCCTATGATATTTCACTGTAAACTATGACATTGCTCTGTACCCTATGACATTACGGTGTACACTATGACATTACACTGTATCCTATGACATTACACAGTACCCCATGACATTACACTGTACCCTATGCCATTACACTGTACCCTATGACATCACACTGTACCCTATTGGTTTTTGGTGAAATAACATTTCATGATTTCTGACATGTTTAGAACTCTCTATTTCATTCAGACTGTGCTTAGAGCTCTCTATTTCATTCAGACTGTGTTTAGAGCTTTTTCATTCAGACTGTGTTTAGAGCTCTTTATTTCATTCAGACTGCGTTTAGAGCTCTCTATTTCATTCAGACTGTGCTTAGATCTCTTTATTTCATTCAGACTGTGTTTAGAGCTCTCTATTTCATTCAGACTGTGTTTCGAGCTCTCTATTTCATTCAGACTGTGTTTACAGCTCTCTATTTCATTCAGACTGTGTTTACAGCTCTCTATTTCAGACTATGTAGAGCTCAATATATCAGATTATTCAGATTGATGACAGCCAGGTTTTGTTGAAGCGGTTAAGGTCAATCAGTTTGATGACAGGTAATGTCGAAGCGGTTAAGGTCAAATAAATGCACTATGGCCAAACAAAGGAGTATTTTAGCTTTTAAAAAAAAAACATTAAAAAATTTGAAATTGAAAGACTTTTTTATTGCAAAAAAACAAACGCAGGATCACTGTAAATTTAAACAGATTCGACAATTTACTGTGTAGAGACTAATAATTATTTACTTCATCCTATGACATACCCCCGTCACTGGATAAAAAAGGAAACAATTACTAAGACATATCGTTGTGCCTCTTTTCTGAGAAAGCAATCATGTGCTATGATATATCCATGTCAATGGATACAAAAGGAAACAATTACATACTATGACATATCCTTTTGCCTCTTTTCAGAGAAAACAATCATGTGCTATGTCATATCCATGTCACTGGATACAAAAGAAAACTCATACTCTAATTATGACACATCCTTGTCACTGTACATAAAGACATATTTACAAAGCTGCAGTTGGTACAGCATCAAGGTTAAAAATATTCAACGACTTAGAATCAAATTATCTCTCTTTTCTTCTTGACTTTTGTCCTTTTGTTTTCTTAAGGATGAGAAAAATGTTCAGTTGCTATTTCAGATAAACAAATGTTTGAAAGTGTTCTTACAAAGATTTTAGCCAGCTTCTGCTTAACTTTATTTCCTTCTCCACAAATACATTTAGGCTAAAGCAACAGTGTTTAAGAACAGGATGCTGAGTCTCCTCATTAGCTGGATACTCATGAGGTGGATCATGTCACAACAGGTGGCTAGACCTACTCATGAGGTGGATCATGTCACAACAGGTGGCTAGACCTACTCATGAGGTGGATGTCTAACTTTTCAAACAATAACTCAAACTAAAAGTGCCCACGTGTCTGTAAGTTATGTTTTCATATTTGACAATGACCTGGTAAGAGGTGGGTCCAGATAACGAGGATGAACAAGTGGAGTTTTTGAGAAAAAAAAATAATAAAGGGTAGTAACGGGTATTCAGCCTAGAATGGTCGGAGATTGAGATCTTATTTTAATTTGTGTAGTTGTAATATAATGGCTGTCCGTTTAATTAAGAAAAACTCAGTAAATTTAATATTTATTAGCTAAAACTCTGCTCTCATCTAGTAATGTTATTTTAATTTGAACTTCATTTGTTCAGTGAATAAAATGGACCCCTATTGCGCCAGGCAAGTGCCTTATATAATTATTTAACTTTCTGTCCCTAGGTGTGGGATGTATTGTGCCAATGTTACAAGCAATGATGACAGTTCATTCATTGTTTTGTATGTCTTCTGAGGGTAAAATCATGTTACCTTGTATCTCACTGTCTGGATCAGTAAATACAAAATCATGTTACCTTGTATCTGTGTCCCGTTCGGGGTTTAATCAACGGGCTCACTCATCGAAATAATTACAATTAGTTCATTTTGTTTAATTTTCGTGTGATCGTAATCAAGTGTTAACATTTTTTTACCCAACTCTTTCGTTAAAAAAAATTATTTGCAACTCGTTACGATACGACATTGGTTGCCCGGGCAAAATCCGGATTCAGCAGGGGAGGGGCACACAAACGAAAAAAAACAGGGAACCCCTGCCCTAAGGGTTTGAACGGATTACATGTCAATGTATTTGTAATTCTCATTTAAAACAAGGGTTGCCTCCCTCTGTAACACCAATGAACTCATTGGAGCCAATGGCTTTCATGAAGATGAGTGGGCCATTCATATTTCAAATATGAAAAAAAAAATCCATTCCTAGCCTATTCTTACTACACCAATTCTTAAAATGTCAATAAATGGATGAATTATTTTTGGATGACATAATATTATATGGTTGGATCCTTCAAATCATTATCTGGGTTAAGATGTCTAAGACTATCAGTAAAATTAATGAATATTGGGTTTATGAGAATTTTTTTTTTTTTTAATTTTCAGCATTTCCAATTATCTTAGCCTTCTTGTTTATTGATGTGACAATCTATTGAGCTGATCAAATTCTCAAAAAAACTTCATGGCTTCCTTGAAACTGGAATAAGTGAGGCGAGACAGGAGCAGAAAACTTGTGGCCGAGACCACATCCCAGCCGTCTGATTGGTTGCCCAGAGTCAGCTGGCACAGCAAGGAAAAACTTTGCACAACGATCCAGTACAATTTTTTCTGTTCTTTGGTAACAAAGAGCTTCGATCCTGGTTTTCTGCCGAGCTTCTTGGCTGTCGGCCTAACTTCTTTCTTCACTGCAGAAGTTGGTGGTTTGGGCGGGCTGGGTGGTGTGCCGTTCAATTCCAAGGCCACCATCTGTGCCACGGCCGTTGCAGTATTAGCGGATGGTCTCTGTTTACAACAATAGCAGACAGAAAAACAAAAGCTAGATTAAAAGCAACTCACATCAAGTAATTTAGTAACGGAAAAATAGCAGGAGAAACAAAGCAGGAGAAACAAAGCAGGAGAAACAAAGCAGGAGAAACAAAGCAGGAGAAACAAAGCAGGAGAAACAAAGCAGGAGAAACATAGCTTTTTTCAAGACAAGAAATTTTTAGTACATATTTTTCACATTAGTTTTGTTTTTAGTTTGATGATATCTTAATCTTACATTTTCTATTACACTTCCCATTCATAAATTTTATTTGCTTAAATCATCAATTTTGCCAGACAGCAGTTAATTATGGTGGTTAAATTTAAAAGTAAGTACTGCTCTTTTATTCCATAATTAATGATATAATGTATATGTGATAAACTTCATTTATTCCTTCTCTTCTTTGAAATTTTAACTAAATATTTATTTTCTAAAAAGCTAAAATTGAGGATCCGTGAAAAATTGAAAGATTAAAATGTACCCCACGACAATGCTGTGTGCCATAATTCAGTTTTCCAGGTTAAACAGAACTTGGAGAAATTTGGCCTAATAAATGTTGAGGACAATCAATAATTTAAAGATATAAAAAGTTTATTTCCAGGTTAAACAGAACTTGGAGAAATTTAGGCTAAAAAATGTTGAGGACAATCAATAATTTAAAGATATAAAAAGTTTAGAAGGATGAAATATAAAATAAATAGTTTTACCTTGTTTGGATCTCTAGATAAAAGAGCTTTAACAAGACGCTTGATTGGTACAGGAACATCATCTGAAATGGTGCATTAAATATACGTTAGACAGACTCCTTAAATATACGTTAGACAGACTCTCAACAGGAACATCATCTGAAATGGTGCATTAAAATATATGTCAGCAAGACTTTCACTAAACCCACTGAAACTTTTGCTTGAAATAAATGTAATAACTCCAAAGTATATAAAAGCTGGTAGCTTAACAAAAAAGAATAACCATCTGGATGATTTAAATAAATAGACGAAAAAGATAAAGGATGAAGTAACAGCATTCCTATCTCTCATTATGTAGATATTTTAGAGCAAGACATATGGATCCTGTAACAATATACCAACCACCCAAGCCTTCAAAACTGCACTCAAAACGCATCTCTTTAAACTATATTACCCTGACTGATTCCCCTCCTCTGACCGATAAATGATCTTGCTGGCCGCCGTCAATGGTTTGCCTTGTAAAAGTCCTGGGGTTCATGCTGTTCTTTATTTCATAATTGTATTTGATTTTAATATTAATGTCATGATTATGTCTCTTTTGCTAATATTTTTATGTACAGCACGGTGAGCCCAGCCCTAGGCGCTATAAAAGACCACTAATTATTATTATTATCTCTCATTACGTAGATATTTTTAGAACAAGATATAGTGATGATGTAACAGCAGGTACCCCTATCTACTCATTACGTAGATGTTTTAGACAACAGTTAACATAATGCACTAATGAGCCAGATCAACTAACAACAGAAACGATGACTCTTTGCCTTATAATCTACCAACCGATAGCTAGACCTCCCATAACTTGGATGTTGTGACCATTCATTCAATATTTAAACTAATGGTTCCTATTTGGTAATCGATTGTCTATAAGAAGAAAATGACCTGGCAGCGATGGGAGGTGTCCCACTATGTAGTCAACATTTCTCATCTGTTTCCTTGAGTTATCCCTGCATGGATAAAACGGGTTGTCTGTTCCCAATATCTCATATGCTATGGCCCCGACAGCCCAGAGATCAGACTTCCTAAAATCCAGGACGTTGTTAGGCCCAGGCATAGCAGTGACCAGCTGATCAGAAGAAATAACAAGTTAAATTTACCAATAATCAATATCAGTGTTCCCACTGCTAGGGTGTGACCTGACACCAAGCCAGTTCCCACTGCGAGGGTGTGACCTGACACCAAGCCAGTTTCCACTGCTAGGGTGTGACCTGACACCAAGCCAGTTCCCATTTCTAGGGTGTGACCTGACACCAGGCCAGAAAAGTTAAATACCTTTTTGCCAGATGAAAGGAAAAAAGTTCATGAACCAATGTGCTTTATGATTGCCTTTCATCTGGCTAGTTTTACCCACCTACATGATGAAATATTGACAACAATTACTGAAACTCACACATTTCCTAAGAAATCAAAAGCTACAGCAATAAAAAATGTTAGCATCTCCTAAATGTGATAGGAACAGGATGCGCTGGCACTATCAAGTAACAGAGAGCAGATACTTTCAAAGAAACTGACCTAGGCCACTTACAAAGGTGTGGTTTTCTTCTTTGTAAGTTGATGTAAGTTCACACCACCTACCAGACAATTTCAATCTGTTTAATTTTGTGAGAAACCAATGTGACAGTACAACTGACAAAGAATTTCTCCTTCAGACACCATTGTGACAGTACAACTGACAAAGAATTTCTCCTTCAGACACCATTGTGACAGTACAACTCACAAAGAATTTCTCCTTCAGACACCATTGTGACAGTACAACTCACAAAGAATTTCTCCTTCAGACACCATTGTGACAGTACAACTCACAAAGAATTTCTCCTTCAGACACCATTGTGACAGTACAACTGACAAAGAATTTCTCCTTCAAACAGAGTACTTACAAAAACAAGGGTTGAAGAAAATGTTCAATCTGATTGTGAATTACATTAATGAATAAATCTGTGTGAGACCGAGTAGGGACGGAGCTTGCGCAAAGGAAGCTGCTTGTCAGGGACTTTTTGCAATAACATCAGTAGCATGAGTAGACAATGTATGTGTGCATTGTAGAAATAAGACAAACTGTTGAGTAGACAATGTATGGGGGTGCATTGTAGAAATAAGACAAACTGTTGAGTAGACAATTTATGGGTGCATTGTAGTAATAAGACAAACTGTTGTCATCTTAAAGAAATGACATTGCAACTATCCAAGAGTGTGTACAATTTATAGAATCTTGTCCACCGAACTAACAAATCTTGAGTCTTTGATACTTTGTTATGATACAGCACTCAAAGACAGCTTGGAAAGAATACTACCCATTGATTTTTGGCAATACTGTCATCACAAATACCCTATTTTAGTATTAAAGTTTCTGTCCTTGCTAATGTGTTCTGTGAGATCACCCCCCTTCCCAAAACATACTATAATAATAAAGTTCTGGTTTCCTCACATCAATTACATCTCAACATTTCATTTGTCTGTTCACCATCAGATGCCTATTAGAGAAATGCTATGAATATAATATACCAGTACATGAACTCTATGTGGACTATAAAATGGCCTATGACAGCATAAAAAAAAATATCTATATGAGACTCTGCAGGAGTTTCGGATGCCCAACAAACTGACAAGACAGACTAATACATGTAACACTAAACAACTCAAAAAGCAAAATCAAGATTCAAGGAGAATATTCTAGGGAATTTCAGATTAGAGGAGGCCTGAGACAAGGAGACTCACTGTCTAGTATGCTTTTTAACCTAACATTAGAGAGAGTTATGAGAAACATACACATTGACACTTGAGGAACGATAACAGGATACTTTCTGAGGGAAACTCAAGACCCACAACCAACAGGCACACTCTACAACCAGCCCTTGCAGTATCTTGCATATGCTGATGACATAGCACTGCTAGGGAAAAGTATTAAAGACATATAAAAATCCTTTATTGAATTAGAAGACGCATCTTTACAAGCAGGGCTGGAAGTTAACAACCAAAAAACAAAATACATGACCACGATAAGAGAAGAACAAACAGATGAATTAAAATTAGAAACCAGACTTTTGAAAAAGTAAATCAATTCAAATACCTAGCATCTTTGTTAAATGAAAGAAATGAATTACTAACAGAAATAAAAGAAAGAATATCAGCCTGAAACAGGGCATACTTCAGTACCGGTAGTCAGAAAATACTCAAAAGTAAAAACATTACAAGAGAAACAAAGAAAACTATTTATAAAACTGTGATCAGACCAGTTGTAACATATGCAAGTGAAACTTCGACCCTAACAAAAACAGCAGAAAACCTATTAAACACATGGGAGAGGAAAGTTCTCAGGAAAATATATGGACCAACAAAGGATGAAAATGGATGGAGACCACCCATGAATTGTACAGTCTATATCAGGATCCCACGATAGTGGCAGAAATAAAAAGAGGCAGGACACCTAGAGAGAATGTCAAATGACAGAGGAACAAAGAGGGTGCATCACCAACACCCCAGAGTAAAAAGGCTCTAAGGCATACCTAGGCTTAGGTGGATGGATGATGTGGAAAAAGATCAACAACAGCTGAAAGTCCAAGCATGGTAAAGAAAGGCATTAGTTAGGTCTGAGTGGAAGGAAGTGGTGAGGCAGGCCAAAGCCCTACATGGGCTGTAGCGCCAAGGGATGGATGGATACATTTCATTAATCTGACATTTCTGTCAAACTCAATTCTTCCTTATTATAACATTATAATTATAATATTTTTTTCTGTCTCCCTTTGGCCTGTAAAATAGATACAAATTTACCCGGATGAAAAACTTTTGGTATGAGTTCAATCTAAAATATAGCCACGGAAGAAACTAAACATTTATTTTAAAACCGTGTTTATTATGCAGAATTTTGTCCCATGTTCTGCTTTTTAAAAGGAGTGTGCTGTGCAAGAGAGTACCCAATAAAATTAAGTAATGTGGACCAGATTATAATGCTGGAAAAAAAACTCTTCTGAACTTATGTGTAGTTTTTTTGATATTCCAAAGAATGATCTGGGTGCTTTTTATGGCTTCATGTTATTTCTTTATCAGATTTATCATCAGTTTAATGAATGAATGAATACTACTGTTGACAGCTTGCACATTTCACCACTAACCGATACACAATTGTCTCATAATCTTTTGAACATTTTCAAACACAGAAAATGTCATACAAAAACAATCATTGCAAGGTTAAAAAATATTGTGAGATAATATTGAAATGGCAATGACCAATAGATGAGTGCATGAAGAGCAGTAAGGGAAAAAATGGTCTTTTCGGAGCCATCTTTGGCTTGTTTTTTGGGGCTGAGCCCTGTGCATATCTTTATGGGTTTTTTTGTTGAATAAATTATTTTTTAAATCTTTCATGGCTTACACGGCAACTACAGCTTTAAAAAATCCTTCAAACAACAGATCAACTTATTTTGTTTAATTAGAAGGCACAAGCTTCGATAAGGAACCTCTTATCTCCTCAGAACTAAACAATGCTAAAATGTATTCATTTGAAAAATCATACCTCAGGGGCCATTAGCCAAGAATTGCCTCCCATGTAGACATCTCTAGATGTATAAGGAACTTGCATGTTTTTGTTTTCTTCCGCCAGACAGCATCCAAAATCACAAATTTCCAGACGAGGGGATCCTAAATGTATTTTGGTTAAATTATATTTGATACAAATTTTAAGTTTTGTTTATTTATTTAATTTTCTAATATTTTTTTTAAGTCCAAAAGAAAAATATTTAAATTTTTCAAAAACATTTTTATCCATTTTTGTATCACTCATGACCATATAATACAGCCATCGTCCAGCAATCTTTTACAGCCATCGTCCAGCAATCTTTTACAGCCATCGTCCAGCAATCTTTTTAACACTTATTTAATTAAATTATTTAGTTCTGTGTCAAAACACCTTCTTAATGTGGAGGTTTTCCTGTATTTGTTCTTTAAGTCAATTCGGCATATTGTATTATTTTACTTGATAACAATAAAGTTTTAAAAAATCATACAGAATGGCGATAGCTTTTAAAAAAAAAAAAAAATTTTTAATAAAAAAGAGTTAATGTTGTGGGAAAGAGGAGATATTTGGATAATCAAAATTACCTTCCTTACAGAAATTCATGTTCATATTAAAAAAGTTTAGTCATTATGAAAAAAAAATATTATGATCTGCACAAAATGGATTTGCCAAGAAAGCTTACTCATTACCAACCTCCTGGCTTAGGCACTTCCACAAGAATATTGTCAGTCTTCAGATCACGGTGAGCTATGCCATGTTTCTGCAGGTGTGACACACCTTCCAGCACCTGGGCCAACATCAAACATCTGGTAGCCATGGTAACATCATGAGTTGCCAGATAGTCACGCAAATGTGTACTTCTCCTGGACAGATGAAGAAAAAGAAAAAAAAAAAAATTAACACTTCATTATAGTACTATAGTACTTGTAAACAAATGAAAATTTTAACACTTTTACTTTATGTAATATGCATGACTTGCTGAAAAGGCTTTGAAATCATTCTTTAAAAATATTTTGACATAATGGACAAATAAAATTTCATGCCCAGCTCAGTCTAGTGAGATAATTTTCTGGAGATAAGGAACAGAAGGTAAATGAAAAGTTGAAATAGTTTTTGATGGTGTCCTTGCAATTTTTCATTTATTACATTTGCAGTTTGTTAAGAAAGTTTGCCTTGACTTTATAAAGTGCTGAGAAAAGTTTAAAATTGATTGTCTTTCTTTGTGAGATTCTAAACCCTTTGAGTTAAAATTATCAAAGCTTTTTTTTTTAAATACATTTTTCCAACAGTTCATCACATAATAGAACAATGTCTGATCCTGTATTGTACAGCAAAAACGTGATATTTATTACTTCAAACAAATGATATTTTAACACTCTACAAACCTTCTCATGACCAGATATAACGTTTTGTTTCTGCCAAAATACTTCTCAGGGTCCAGCTTGTGAGGCATGGCGGCTGGAAATTTTCTGAGTCCTTCCTCGGTCACGAGCATGTCATCTACAAAAATTCCTGGCATGTCCACAATGTGTGGGTGAGGGGGCAGGTGATTCACACGTTTACATCTGTATTGGAAAAAGACATTTTTAAAAAATAATCTTACAATTATTTTGAGTCCCTCGGCTCAGTTTAAATTGTAGGGATTTTACTTTCCTTGTGATCACTGATTTAATTCAATTAAAACAAATTACTGATGTTTCTTATGACATCACTGAATGTAGTCAATATCTTAGTTGTATAGTACTGTTACTGTTACCAATGTTATGATCTCCTTCAAAACTCATTTAGGGGCCATCCATAGTAACTATACACTAAGGGGAGTTGTTGATTTTTGAGATTTTTAAGGGGGGGGGAATCTAGGTATAATCTAGGTATAAAGTATGTATATGTATATATTTATTTAAAAATTCTACAATACCAGACCTGATTACTCTGGAACTCCCAAAATAGTTTAGATTTCAGAATAGTGCTTAACCATCTCAAAATCTTCCAATACTGTATCATAATAGTGTGGAGTGTTCAGGCCTGGGTAGTCGACCTGGGTGCTACAGGGGTAAGGGGGATTTCACAGTATGGAAACTGACCAAGGGTTGGTTAATGGCCATTTAAATGGCGGGGGGGGGGCATTAGAACAAATTTTGGTATCAGCCCGGACCTGGTGGAGGCTGGCCAACTGGCCAGCGGTTGTAGCTTGGTGGATAACATCGTGGCGTTACTATTGGGGACGTTATGTGATAGCAGTGGTTGGTTAATGTCCATTTAAACGACGGGAGGCATTAGAAGAAATTTTAGTACCAAAGATGTAGCAAAAGATTAAGGCTATGTGGGGGATCTCTAGTGACGCAACGACCAATTGAGGGACTTCTAAAAAGGGACCTTTAGACAGGACTGAGGAGAACTCAGGTGTACAGTCGGGGAGAGCTCCAACGGGTAGGAGTAGAGGACAGTCAGAATTGAGTACGAGATGAGAGAAAGCCAAAGTGAAGTAGCAGATCAATAGCAGACTATAACAATCGCCTGAGTTGTCTGATTGGTGAAATACGAGTGACAGTTGAAGTAAGTGTTACCATCCAAACAACGAGATACAGATTGAAGGTTTAACAGAGACGAATCAAGGTTCCCTACAATAGTAAAAACAACATTTAGTATAATTTATACTGGTATTTATATATTTATGTTCAGTGCTTTATTGTAAAATCAAAAAGGTGCCCATCTTTTGCTACTTTGATAAAAGAAAATGGGATGGATAAAAGAAATCGAGGACACCTGCCAAAGTCATTGGAGTGAAATTAAGAGTGAATTTCGAGAAAAAAAAAATTAATCAAAATGCACTTTGGCATTTACCAGAATATAGTTTTGAATCATTCTACAATTAATCAAAGAAGAACTGAAGCTGGTGGAAACTTGGTCCTCTTTACCTAGCTGTGTTTCTATAAACCCTTCAATTTTGGTAGGTCATAAACATTATTGTGGATCATTTTTTATTTAAGATGAGTGTCACAAATGACTGCGGCGGGGGTTGACAACAGAGCTCCATTTTTCTTCAGATAATTTATTGGGTGGACGGAAATGGCTGTGATTTTGGGGAGGGTATTGTTAGGCGCATGCCTGTATTTTTCATTTTGTCTCAGGCCTTCCACTTCCCGTAATAATTTTGGTGTTAACTTCAGAAGTTCCTAATTGACCAGAGAGAAATGAGGGGGGTATAGATGGGTTAATACCTAGCATTCCTGGACCACCTAGGGAGGTAAAGAATGCTATATCAGATAGAACACTTTGTGACAATGAGATTACTTTTTTTAATCTTGTTTTAATCAGTTTAAAAAAGGGGAGGGTCATCGAGTGTTTTGAGATGTACCGGTCTATATATTTCAAATGTACCGGTCTATATATTTCAAATGTACCGGTCTATATATTTCAAATGTACCGGTCTATATATTTCAAATGTACCGGTCTATATATTTCAAATGTACCGGTCTATATATTTCAAATGTACCGGTCTATATATTTCAAATGTACCGGTCTATATATTTCAAATGTACCGGTCTATATATTTCAAATGTACCGGTATATAGATTTCAAATATACCGGTATATAGATTTCAAATGTGCGTTTATGCGAAAAATGAAAATAACTTAATTGCAAGAAGAAATAAGTTCATTTGTGATAAATATATACACAATATTTAACGTGGTCGGCCACATGTTGTCCACCCCAGCATTTTATCATAGTCTAAAAACTACCACATGCTGTACAGAGAGGACAGTTGAGTGATTCAATTTGGTTACCAGAAATTTATTTGAAAGAAATTTGATAGAAGGAAAATTGATGTAGGAAATTTTGGTCTCGAATAGAATGAAATAATTACGTCATTCATTACTGAAGCAAACAAGTGAATGTTGACCAGATTTGTCACTAGAGCGACCACGCTAAATAGTACTGTAGCTGCACCTAGTGGTACATTTTCATAGTGAAAATTCAAAGTAACACTAAGACCATCATCAGCAACATTACAAAATGAGGCAGTGTTATTTAATGGCCTGTAAAAATGTATCTTAGACACCTCCCCCCTCTTCCATCCACACCCCTTTGCTCCAAGGTCAACATAAGCCCTCCCCCCATAAACCCACAATTTCCCCTCTCAGTGCAATGGTAACATAGTTATGAACGGCCTCCAAACAATGATATTTCTTGGTCCAATGACTGCTCGATATTCAAAGGAGGTAATTCTAATATCCAATTTTTTTTCTTAAATTGTTAAAACTACTGGAATATATTTTTTCAACCCAGTCTCTTAAAATCATAGAGTACAATAGTAAAAGATATCTTAAAATGGTTCATTATACCCCAAACTCAGGTCTGCAATAATCATCTTGAAACTCCAATTTGATAGTCCAAAAATATTTATAAATATAATGCTCAAAATTTCACGCAATTTTTTGTTGGAACTTATGTCATAATATTGCCTTGTGTTTTCACAAATGAACTCACTAAATATAGCTCAAATAGTACTCAGTAGCAGCAGTTTTACAGTAATTTTAGTGCCTGTGACGTATTTTCTTCGGTTCACCAGAGGTTCCGAAAAATTTTTTATTCCAGGTGCCCATGCCAAATTTAGGTTTTCACCAGGCCCTCTGTGTTAAATTCTAACAAGCTTCAAAATAGCGAATGCATAAACAAAATAAAATAAATGGTTGGGTAAAATTTATAAAACACGTTTGTAGGTCACTAAGCCTCATCTAGTACAGTGTTCCCCAAATGGTGGTTCATGGTCTGGCTTTGGTCTGTGAGCCTTACATTGCTGGTCCACATAACATAAATATTTCAAATAAAAAATATATATAATTATAAATCTGGCACTGGTCCCTGGTGTAATGTCGAAACTTGTCCACCGGTCCGCCAAACTTTAAGTTTGAGAAACGCCGATCTAGTAACTGCAAACATTAGTAAATCAAGTGGGTTACTCCTTGCACCACTACCGCTTGATGTCACATTGGATTTAAAGTGTACATTTTTTTTTAAAGTTATATGTTTAATATTTGGCAGCCCCCTGAGAGTAAGTCAAAGACAAGCCAGGAAAAAGCCATGCGAAGGCTCCTGGGTTGCAGCCTGAAAATATATAGAAAAAAAGTGTGTCCCCTCCATCCCTCCCCCCCCCCCCCCCCCCCTTTTCGCCCACAAAAAAAGTGTGTCCCCTCCATCCCCCCCCCCCCCCCCGCCACTTTGGTGACCAGTAAAAAGATTTCCTTCTCACAGATGAGGTGTCATCCCATCCACTCAGGATAACTATTATAACTAATATTTTTAATCCACTAATTTTCTCGGAGGTTTAAACCAAAGTAGCAAGGCTGCTAAAATTATCTACTATCCTTACAATTCACTGTCCAACTGGCAACTCTCAACTCTCAGTGGCACTATCTCTCTCTCAAGTTCTCTCAGGATACTCTGTGCATTTGATTCTGCCCCATAGTTGAAAACAGCCTTAACGGCAAGGTCAAAATCAGCATCGATGGGTACGACGTCAGCTAACTTGGCTGAAGAAAATATTGGGTATTATATTTACATAACAACAAAAAAATTGACATTAATAAAAAATGTATTATAAAAAAAGTAATAATCTTAAATCTTTTATAAAATAGTAATCTAATGGTCTAATGAGAATCTTTCATCTTTCAAATTAAAGTTAAATTTAAAATAATGCATATTTTTTTTTTTTTTTCAAGTGTAAGAACCATGGAATTAGAAAATAATTTGAAGCAGAAATTCTGAAAAAAATAAATTAAATCTTTGCATTGTATGATCATAACTTTACTTATAGCTCACAAACCTGCATCTGCTTTCATCTTAGCTTTATAAACTGCTCCTTCACAACCGTTAGCAATAGATTCTAAATTGATGTCCAGGTCATTTAAGCTATGTGGTAGCTTCTCTGGCGGATCGGTGTCCCATTTATAGCCTCGAAACATGTCCTGTTTAAAAAAAGTTAAAAGAAGAAAAATGAATAAATCAATGCATTCCTTTCTTAAGCCTGACAAAGAAAAGAATTCAAATAAACCAGGGTTCCCAACCTTTTTTAAAAACAAAATTCCCAACTTTTTCCCAACTAAAAATTAAAAAAATTCCTGGCTATCGCAACGCAGCGTTTTTGCTGATAATATAAAAAAATGTAATTGAGAAAGTAAAGCAACATTGAAATACATCACAAATGAACAAAAAAAATTAAGCGATTGAGGTGTTTATATGTAAATATTTATTACATTTTCCAGCAATTGCAATTTTTCAATTTACTTAGATGTGAAAAATTGTTCACGTTTACTTTTTATGTGCAAGGGCAACATTTGCAGTGTGTTCTCCAGGGCTTTTTAGCACATAAGTATAGCTACCAAAAGTGGAAAGTATCTTTTATAATATGGAGCTAACGTTCTCTTCTTTGTGATGAAAATGAATAGTTTGAGTCAACGCACTTTAGTGTCTCTGAAATCTCTCCAATGAAGGTTTCATATTTTGACACATACATTGGGAGCTTGGCTGAGAAGTTGCAGAACTGGACAACTAAGATAGGTGATAAAGCTGAAGTCTCATCAGATGATTGACATCTTTTAATATTTTCGCGCTGAATACCGGGGTACTTGATATCTATATTTCCAGCATAGTGAAGCAGTGATCACTTGTTCAATCATTATCATGATAGCTGTCCTGACCATCAGTCTTTAAGGAACATGATTTTATTGAGCCTTGATCCTGAAAGGTGAAACAAAATAAAATGTATTATCATATTAATATTATTTTTATAATTTACAGTAAGGAATACATCGTATAGACTATATTATAATATTTATACCCGTACCAAACTATAGCAATGTAGAGTCAGAAGAGATTCTAAGATATGCATATGAAACGGCATAGTCAGGATTTTCCACAGGGGAATGCATCATTTACACCCCAACCCCCACACACACACACTTTTTTGGGGTATCCAAAGGACCCCCCCCCACACACACACACTTTTTTTGAGGTATCCAAAGGACCCCCCACACACACACTTTTTTTGGGGTATCCAAAGGACCCCCCCACACACACATTTTTTTGGGGTATCCAAAAGGACCCCCCACACACACACACAAAAACAACAACCAATCCTTGCCTACGCCACTGCGCTTATGAATAATAATATAATACCGTAAAATATACCTAGAGTACGGGAGTGCATAAAATAAGGACTAACTATATAAAGTTATTTTAGGCTCACTGTATCGATTTATCAAGTCCAATCAACTGGTTTTCATTTTATTAACTTTTAAATGAATTTCCGATGTCAGCTGTAGCCTAGCAAACTAATCTACGCAAAAATAACATCACAAAATAACTTAATAATATTAGCCTATTTAAAATTAGAAGGCTTACTCCGCAATTAAATGTAAAGTGAACTTTAAGTCTTTAAAAGAAGTTAAAGGCTGCCTAGCGCTAATAAAGAAAATACATGTCCACATACAGTAAAACAGTTAAAAATCAACTTATGAAGTCTACGATATAAAGTACGCTAAGCTTAGTCATTGTAGACACCGCTTGGAATAGTAGTTTTCTAATTATAATGTTTACCTCACAATTGAAACTAGATTCAAATAATTATTTACTATATTTTACACTTTACTTACATGCCAAGCGGTGGAATATCTCTTGATAGGCGATGTGAACGGAAAATAAATATTTCTGTTCTATCGAAGTTGTACTGAAACTTGCAGAGCTCAAAACACATGCCCAGTGAAGGGGAAAGCACAAGCAAGGTCCTTTAGATAAAAAAAAGGCTAAAAATAGACGAGATCAGAGATTAACGACAATTTTCATGTCATCCAAAGCCACATTTATTATTATTTTTTTACAAATTAAAAAATTCCAGACTATCCGGAAAATTTCCTTACTAGAAGGCCTATTTTCCTAGTTTTCACGACCGGCAAAATTATTCAATAAATTCCTGACTATTTCCCGTTTTCCCGATTGTGTGTGGACCCTGATGAGCATGCCAGTCAAAGTACAACATATATTTATGTCTGTCAAAATAAAAAAAAATTTTCCTTGCCTAGAGCCAAGCAGAACCTTTAAAATTTTAGCAAGCAAATGTAATTGCTCTGAGAGCTAATCTAATATGTTGGCCTCAACACATTGTGTAAACCTCTAAATGTTTTGTAAATAACACCAAGAAAAGCTACGTTTTTGCCAGGAGAGTCCACTTAACCATTTATAAAAGTGCAAGAACAAATGAGAAGATAAGCCTTGGAGTAATCATTACAATACAAGTAAGACAAGGCCTAAACCAAAAAAAAAACAAATAGACAAATGAGAAGATAAGCCTTGGAGTAATCATTACAATACAAGTAAGACAAGGCCTAAACCAAAAAAAAAACAAATAGACAAATGAGAAGATAAGCCTTGGAGTAATAATTACAATACAAGTAAGACAAGGCCTAAACCAAAAAAAAAAAAATAGACAAATGAGAAGATAAGCCATTGGAGTAATCATTACAATACAAGTAAGACCAGGCCTAAACCAAAAAAAAAACAAATAGACAAATGAGAAGATAAGCCTTGGAGTAATAATTACAATACAAGTAAGACAAGGCCTAAACCAAAAAAAAAAAATAGACAAATGAGAAGATAAGCCTTGGAGTAATCATTACAATACAAGTAAGACCATGCCTAAACCAAAAAAAAAAACAAATAGACAAATGAAAAGACCAAAACTGGTACCGAAATTCTAAGTATGCCAACGCCAATGGACTACGTAAGGAAAGGCAATGTGGGCCTGGTTGGGCTAGAGATTCCTTGTTTATTTCCACTAATTAAGTGGGATCAAATTGCCAAAATAACATTAACAGTGCTATGGTCAACAATGAGCCCCCTACCCCCTGAATAACTTGACCATGGAAGAAGTTATACTTTTTCATTTCTGCTAATGCTTATGAATAGCTTTCTTCACATTGGTAATATAATGGAAAAAGGCTGCACTCAGGTTAGAAAAAGGCTGTGGCTATTGGTAAACTACCAATAGCTTCTAGAGAGCTATTTATTTTTAATTACATCCCTGAAATCACTCGAAAGTATGTAGGCCTATGTTGGATTTTATTTTTACTGCACAGCCTTCAAAACTGCATTCAAAACACATCTTTTTAAACTCTACGATCCTTCTTCTTTTTCTATATCTTAAGGGCCCACGATCAATTTATTGATCATTTTGGCTCCTATGCATGTAGATGGGATTTGCAATGTTTCTGTTACTGGTGGTGATGAGGAAATTATGCACTAGGGGTTTGAAGGCTTGAGGCAATAGACACAAATGTGTCTAGTGTTGTCGCCTCAACTGTTCCTTTTGAAAGATGGTTCCAGTCCCTGATTGTCTTGGGCAGGAATGAGCAGCTCCTATACTGGCTTCTTGCTGGTATGAGCCTGAATTGCCTGTCATGGCCTCGTCGCTGTCTATGGGGGAGAGGGACGAGTTTCTGTTTAATACTGGAACAGTGGACCAGCCCATTATTTATCTTGTACATCATGGAGAGCCTGGATTGTCGTCGTCGTTTCTCCAATGGTGACCAGCCTAGTGTTTCTAGCATGCTGCCAACACTAGAGGTATTCCTGTAGCGGTTTAGGACAAAACGTGCTGCTCGTCGCTGGACCGCCTCCAACCTGTCAATGCTCCTTACTGATTCCCCTTTTTTGACCGAGAAACAATGCTGCTAGGTGTCGTCCATTGCTTTACATGTAAATAGTTTTAAATATAAATTTTTTTTTGTTTTATTTAATTAATGTATGTTCATTAATTTTTGTTAATTTAAAGTTCATGATTATGTTTGTTAAATTGTATGTACATCGTGGTGAGCCCAGCCCTTTTGACAGCCTTATAATAATAATAATTACTTTGTCCTTGGCGGGGTAACATTTTTTCAGACTATGATCCCTTCGCTCCAGTATCATACATCAATCTAGCTGGGTAACATTTTTTCAGACTATGATCCCCTCCCTCCAGTATCATACATCGATCTATATTAGGTCTATATTATAAATTATAATTATATAGCAATATAGCCAAATCTGAGCAAGAGGAAGGCTACAGTAGACAGTGTTAAAACAGTTCAGTAAACTTTATAATAAGTGCCAAGGTGTTGACACTAGTATGAATTAGTAATAAATGAAAGAGGCAATACTTCACCAGCGTCATTGATAGCAGGGTTTGGTTTGATTTGATTGGCTGGACTATCAATAGCTCCCTAGAACATATTGATAGTTTACTACAAATAGTTCCCTGCCCTAACTAGAAGCTATTGGTAGCAAAACTACCAATAGACAAACTTTCTAGAAAAATGGAAATGAGCAAAACAAAGTATTGGAAACTGAAAGAAAGAATGCAACAAGCTGATCAAGGTTTCTTGATGACATGTACATTGTTTTGTTGTATTCTTTTTTTTTCAGGTTTTCACATACTTTGTTCACATTGATTGTTTATCTTGTTTTCATTTTCTGTATTAATATAAATAAATGTCATTTTTAATTTATGGGAGAAAAAAGGTAGCTTACAAAATGTGTTTAATTTAAGTGTGTGCCAAATTATCAAAATATTTCAAATTAAGTTAAATGTCTCCTACAAAAATCCAGAAGGGCCGACGCAATAGTTAGGTGAAAAACTGTGTTCTGGGTGTTTCTTTAAGACATTTATCAATAGATATATAATTAATTTTTTAAGCCAGTGACAGCCATATTGCCCATATGTTAGTTCAGGTATAAACTTTGTATCTTTTCAATAATTGGGGTGCCAGAGTAACTGAAACTCTTCCTCTTTCCAGACGTATTAATAGTATTATTATTAAAAATACTATTACTATTATGTATGCCTGGCAGGTCCTGCTCGTATTTATATAAGCTTACCTGCCTCAAATTGGAATTAAGTCTTAATTATTTAAGAAAAGGTTTTGATAACAAATTTAGGCTTAAATTAAACGTAAATTTAAATAATGATATGTTTTGAATTTGATCCCTAATACTAATATTATATTTATAGGCTATAATTAGTATAGTATAATATATATTATATAGCCTATGCCTATCCCTATGTCTTATTGAGTCTATCCATTGTCAATATTAATATTGTATATGAGCTGAACACATACCCGCATTTCTGACATCATTTTTTCGGCTCCTTCATCAATAACCCCAGAAATGTCAAGGCCTAAAGTAACACCAATAAGTGACATTATTGGTACATGTCTGAAACTGCGACTGGAGCTAGATGTAAGTTTTAATGCAGATCTTCTTCGAAGCTCTCTTGCCAAAGTTTGAGAAGATGTTCTCGAAAAGAACGAACGAAAGATACGGGACTGGATGGAACTATTATTATTTTGCGTGACATTTGGATACAACAGACAGCGATCTTTTGCCTCCACACGTGAAATGTCAAAAGTTTGGATCTTCAACTTCGCTGGTTTTCGCAGGACAAATTGCTGCAAGACATCTTTCCAACTTTTGACAGCCTTACCAAATCCTTTTAAAAAGGGAAGGTTCGGTCCCACTGCGGTCTTAGCCCACAGTACTAAAGGCATTTTTATGGCACTTTAACGTGTATATAACTATCATTCAGAATCAGAATGATTCTGCATCTGAGTCTGCAGTCCGAAATCAATCTTTTCGTTCTTTTATTTACGCAGTAACTACTGTAGCAGTAGGTCTAAAGTCAACCAACAGGATTTCCGCTTGAATATGACGCAATATCTTTATTAAGCCAAATACATAAATTCAAGGGTAACCACTCTATCAGTATTTCTTGTTGCTAGGCGATCCTAATAAAAAAACAAGGAAGAGTATTTTATTAATCATAAGCTTGAAGCACTCTAAACCCTGCCTTAACCTACCGGCAATCGTTCTGTAGTCTTAAACTTCCGCTGAATTTACACTGTGAATGTGGGTTGATATTTTTGTACAGTTGTTTGCTGTTTAGATATGTTTTTAAAATTGATTATCGCAATAACTATACTAGCCTATATACTATACTCTCTATAGGCTACTATAACATTTTCTCTTCTTATTCATTTAAAAAGAATTAATAAATAAATAACAGGCCTAGGCGCGCCATTTACAATCAAATGAATTCAATAAAAAAATGTTTAATCCATTTAATTTAAGGAAGCACATCATATCAATATTATTCCTAAGACTTTATTTTTATCACTAAAACTTGGACATAACATTTTAAGTTTAAGGAACAACAAAATTTATTATTATATTAATATTATATAGTAATAAGCCTATTCACATATTCATGTGTATCACAATACAAGGTTGCCTCACTGTCAGTCTTGTTTAGTTTGAGTCACACAGTTTTCAAATACACTACACTACACATCAGACTGATCAGACTCAGTGCAGCTCAAAATTAAATCTAACATTTAGTATTTACAGTTAGAACAGTTACTTTGTTATTGGACTTTGACTTATCACTGGGTAGCCATATGGTCAAATAGTCCAAACTTAGTGTCATAATGTCCCTATTTGTGGACTGGAGTTCAATCCACAGTGGCTCAAACATAGAAAAACAATGAGCAATGGGTGGATCGGACTCGCTAACCATGGATGACAACTTATCTAAGAGAAGACAAACTCTGAAATCTGATGGAGTGCCATAAGTGGTACAATGAAAATTTCCAACAACTCCTGCATTATGTAACGCTTTAAGAGCACAGTCAAACACACAAAAAACACTGCTGGTCATCTAAAGCATCCTGCTCTATTTCCAGTCATCTTGACGAAGTCTTGCCATTGGAATAAAATTTAAACAGACAAGGATGAGAGAGTGAGGCTGAGTCAAGGCTACTACTCAAGCCTTGGTCATCTTTGCTTGTGAAGGACAAACATTACTTGGCCTTAAATAAAATTAAAAATAAGTGTCCATCATTGAATATGAATGGAGAATATGAACCAACGAGGAATTGTACTGTCTATATCAACGTCCCATGCTAGTAACAGAAATAAAAAAGTGTAGGTTACAATGGGCAGGACACTTAGAAAGAATGCCAAAACACAGAGAAGTGAAGAGGGTATATCACCAAAACCCCAGATGGAAAATGGCTCAAAGGCAGACCTTTAGATTAGATGGATGGATAATTTTTAAAAAGAGCTACAGCAGCTAAGAATCCAAGCATGGAAAAGAAAAGCATTAATTACGTCTGAGTGGATTGAAGTAGCGAGACAGGCCATGATTGAAATAGTGAGACAGGTTAAAGCCCTACATGGGCTGCAGTACCACAGGGATGGTTGGATGTCCGCCACAACTGCTAACTGCTATTCTTTTGACTATTAATAATTATTATGATTTCAGTGAATATTTCAAAGAATAGGCTGCTATCATATCCAATCTAATTCATTTTTTTTTTGGTGTAAATTTTAGTTTCATTATTGCTATTTTTAAGCTTTGGTGAATAATTATCTATTTACCTTCAAAGCCATATTTAAATTTTAAAAATTTTAAATAAAACTCAATATAGGAATACCATGTAACCATGTAAAATAGAAGGAAATCACCATTATTTTCCATTCCATGACTGGGGTTTCTCATTTCCCAGGGTTTCTCTTGCCATATCCTGGGAAAACGGGATAAAATATAGATCCAAATGGTAATATTTCTGAATCCCTTTTTTTCAGAGAAAAATGCCAGGCTTAAGTGACCTTCAAAATGCATATGCTAACAGCATAAAATCATTAAATGTAAGTTCTAATTGTAGCTTTCATTAAATTATGTTCAGTTTTATAAAATATTCACTGAAAAATTCAGAGAAGAAAACAGTTTATTATTTTTAATTTTTTTTTATATAAAATGAATTATAATGAATTGAAGGAAAAGATAAAATTAAGATAAAGTAAAATAACAATGCCTTATTCCATTCAAGATTTTATGTGTCAATATTTTTGCCAAAAGTTACGTCCGCTTATCTATCATTATGTTTATATATATATGACTATTTTTTTATTTATTACTGTTATTCTAATAATTCTATAGCTGTGCCAAGAATTTATTTTATGAATATCAGAATTATGCTCTAAAAGGGCTGTTAGGATGGGGAGTTTTCCCCAATAAGTCCATCAATACAGCCTAAATAGCCTTTAGATAGAAGATATTAATAAACTGATTTTATTGTTGTTCATTGCAGAGAAATACTGGAAAAGCTAAACAAGAAGAGAAAAAAGATGATGAGCTAACAGCTTGGAAAAATATTTCTCCTAACCCAGAGACATCTTTGAGGAAACCAGAATTTCCTATGACTTTCAATATGCTTTTGATGTCATTTTTATTTTGGATCACTTTTATGATACTGATCTACCAAAGCATAAAATATGGGAAAATATATTCAAGAATAACCCAAGAAGCCGACTTAAAAATTGAGTGTAGAGACACTTTTGGTACAAAGGATGAAAATGCAAAAAGGGTTTGTATTTTTCATAATTGCTCATACAGCCTTTTAAAGACATAAAAAGTTTGGTTCAAGAGTTTAAAAAATTTTAAAAAAAGCTACTAACACATAACACTATGGAATTAATAATGCCAGGTGTTGTTTTGTCCCAAAAAAATTAAATTTTTTTCTTTTCTCACATCATTTAATTTAATGTTTTTGGTCTCTTTCCTCAAGGTACAATAGTCCATCTATTTAATTTCTAAAATCTTTCTCTCCTCAGGCTTTTTGAAGATAATCCTTTTAATTCGTGATTCAACTTTTTAATGTTTTTCAGTGGCCTGCTTTACAGAATTATATACTCACTTTATATCATATTCAAATGCATTAGCTCCTCCACATATATAAATAATTGAAATATTGCATCGATTTGAAGTTCCTGATTAAGGTAATTGTTATCATGCAGAATTGAAATTGCTTCTTTCCATTAAGTAGTGTTTTATTAAACATCTGAAATGTCTCAACAGGTTGAAAATTACTCTGTTGGCGATGCCGGCCCCTACCTTCATAGATTGAAACCTGTTGCAAAAGAAGATTTTCCAGTAGAGTCCAAAGTATTGCCTCCAGTTGTGACTGCAATAAATTCTGACCAATTCTATCAGGTCAGGAGATATAACTTAAGTTTTTTTTTAAAAAGAGGTTTATGCTGTGATAAATCATATGTATGCACAATCTAGTGTTATCAATCAAAAGGAGACCATTAACGCATATTTTCATACTATTTGATATTACTAAACACTAGTTTTACAGAAGATTTGGAGGAGATAAAAGGGTTGAAAGATTTCCCTGGTTCCTATTTTTTCCAAACTATTTCAGATTTGTATATAAATATATATTGTCTCAACTGTATTTTTTATCTCAAACTTAAAAAGGTCCAATCACTAACACTACTATATGAACCAATAGTCTACCATTCACCTAGATTTAAATAAAATGGTGCAAAATTAAATTAGCAAAATCTAGAAAATGAAAAACAAGACTTAAAATTAAACTTAAAATTAAACTTAAAATTATTTGTGGTGAATTTCTGTGAATTTTTTTCTTAGTTTCAAGGCCTGGTAAATCACATAATGGAGGATATGCACACCTCCATTTCTGACATCAAGTTAATTGTCTATGATATTGGCCTTTATAGACGAGAAAGAGAACTGGTTCGTATTGCTCTCAATGTTTCTTTTTATCATAACACTAGCTGAACTTAACCTATCAACACATTTCAGGAGATATTTCCGTTAAAAAAGTGTTTCCAGATTCAGTGCTAAATTAGTCATTAAAGTTAAAATGTTATAAATTTTAGCATTATTAATTTGATTTCTAAATTGAAAAAATATAAATTAAAAAATTAATCTCCCCTTTTTTAAAAATTTGTATATTTTCATTTTCAGGTTGAAAAATATTGCCACTGTGAAGTTAGAGATTTCCTTTTTGAACACTACCCTAGTCACGTTGCAGACATTTCCAATTATGCTTGGAGGCCAATTATGCTTCAAATTTTGCTTGAGGAGTTTGGAGCGGTTTTTTATGTTGAACCAACAACAAGATTCAAAAATCCATCGTCAGCAAATTTCCTTCGTATGAGGGGCTCTAAGAATTACTTTCTGTGGGACTCACCAATATTTAAATCTTTAATAGCATACACTGATAAGGAGATGTTTGAGTACTTTGGTGAAAGCAGGTGTGCTTTTCGAGAGAGCAGTCTACTGCTCCCAGAGGCTCTCGCCTTGTACAGGACTGAAGCTACCTGGAACAAGCTAATGAAACCATGGCTAAAATGTGCTTTAAATGAGAACTGCATATCTCCAAAAAATGCTGTATATTCAGGCTGTTTTGAAATGCGGCATCCACATACCACAGGATGCCATCGCTATGACATGTCAGCTCTCAGTATTATACTCAACAGGGGTGTTCAGTACACCGTCGGCACTGAAAAGATGGTGTCTTTTAGAATAACATATACCGATGCAGAGGAAGTGCCTTACTTCTCTGAACAGCCATGGACAAACCAACAAATTTGTGTCCTCATTTGTACACCAATTATTGTTTTAGTGTTTTATAAATATTTTTGTAAAAGAAGGAGATTATGTAGAATTTAAATTTTATTTTTAGCAGTTCCTATTGAAAAAAAAAAAGAAAGAGTGAGTATGTCATTTGCCCGCAAATTTAAGTTTTGAATGTTATCAAGTACTGTAGGCCTACCAAAATATATTACAATTTCTTTGAATGATTATAAATATTTTTGTAAAAGAAGGAGATTATGTAAAATTTAAATTTTATTTTTAGCAGTTCCTATTGAAAAAAAAAAAAAAGAGTGAGTATGTCATTTGCCCGCAAATTTAAGTTTTGAATGTTATCAAGTACTGTAGGCCTACCAAAATATATTACAATTTCTTTGAATGTAGCAAATCTAGGCTTAAGGAATATAACTTTATATGAGAATTAAATTTTTTTACATATCTTTTTACATTTGATCAATCTCAAGTAAAGTTAAACCACTAAAAAGGTCATACCTGTATAATTTAGTGTAATGTTATAACAGTGTACTGTGTTAAGTCATAGAGATATTTTCAGACCTGTTTAACCCCGTGGTTTGCCCTGGTAACTATGTTTTTAAGCCTAAACTACGGCGAGCACAAAAAAAATGAGTTTCTGGAGTTTTGTAGTTTGGTTTGTTTTTAAATAAAAAATTAATAATTGAGGTGTTTTCAGTACAGGTTACCCGATTTTTTGTGTTCACACTGTAGGCAATCGAATAAGAACAACAGTGATTGGCCTTTGCTGTCTTGATCTCAATGAGCCAAATCACAATATTTTAATTTTTGAGGGTTTGTTTATTGCCAATGTGTTATCTACTTTATTTAGCCCTACTGTTGCTTATTGATTTAGTTTGGCCTCAATGCTATAAATTGGTATCCCCTTGATTGCATATGCTTTTTGCATTTTTAAAATTAGTATCTTTGTACCTTAATACTAATACCTTGCAAGTGTGTTCACTCTGTTCATTTTCCTTGCAAGAAAAAGACAGACTCCATGTAAGAAAAGATGTTTTCTACCTGTGGTAACTAAATACATGCCCTATTAACCCTCATAGACAAGACACAGTACTGAACTTTTTCAAAATTTTGAAACTGGAGGAAAAAATTGTAAAATCTTTTTAACTAAACTAATGAAAAAATTCATCTTTAACCAATTGGTTAAAATGGTTTTTTGTTTGAATATTGTTTTTAATTTGACAAATTCATGCTCATTTTCATATTACCAAAAAAAACCCACCTTTTCTTATCCTTAAGAAACAAATTGGAGGGCTATATCCTGTATATTTATTTGTGTAAGCAGTTGACTGGATATCAATAATATCCTGACAAAACTTGAATTTTGATTGCACACCCCCCCACCCCCCCTTTCTAGCCTGACCAAACTACTGCTCTTTGGAGCTTGAACTATTTTTTGAGAGCTGAAAACTACCCTGACACTAACTCAAGGGTAAAAAATCCTCAAAATTTGAACAATCTCAAGATTTATTAAGAATGTGGAGACGCTTATTCTGAAATCTATCTATTTTGAGTAGGCAACTCTGGACCCTGGTCACGGAATTATATATAAAATATTTCTTTGTCTTGTATGCTGAAATTCAAGTTTAAGTTATTCCTAGATGACAGTGGGTGTAAACTGGCCTCATTTCAGTTTTTTTTGTTTTGGGGGTGGGGGGGCGACAAAACTTGGTTGGCTTGTAAAGTTGTTTATTACTTGAGGCACCACAGTACTTATCAAATTAAAATAAAATGAATAAAACCTGCAAACACCCCACCCTGCCCTACCCAAATGACATCCCTGGGTGTAAAAAGTGTTGCATGATTATTTTTTATGAGCAAAATTTTTATATTTTTTTAACATGCCATTTTGTACATGCATTTTATTTGATGAGATTGAACTGCTGTGAATTAAATATAGAATATTTGGATATTTACATACTGTAATGAATGTATATAATAAAATGCTTTAATTTTTGCAGAAATGACATTTTTTTACCAATGTGAATCTCACACATTCTGAATAAAGAAAAATCAATGGTGCTTTTGCTTTCCATTGATGCTGGTGGGTTTGGACTGGAGCTAACACCCAATGCCTCTGCTTAAATGTGTTTTTTATGCACTTACAAATATAGTTTTGTAACGTAGGTCATAAATTGTATGCCAGGAATGTGACAAATATACTCAACAAAATTTTATTTTGTATGGAAGTTTGTTTACTATCACATAAAGAAAAGCATTTTCCTTTAGAAAGAAATTTGTTGAAAGAATTATATACCAGATTTACTGTGGCACTGGTTAGATATATCTCAGCTACTTTGAGTAGTTAGCTGTATCAAATAATCTTCCCTCCTTAGTGGCTGCCTTACCTGGCTGGCAAGTCCATTTCACAGGACACTATCAAAGAAATTGAAACCCTCTGCCTCTTGAAAGGTGGCAGTTATCTTTGAGCCACTGGGCATAATTTTGATGAAAGCTACTAAAATTGAGTATGCCAAAACATCCTAATCTTTTTGTCCTGTTCTCCAATTCAACCTTCCACATACCTCACTTTGCTATTTCATTTACTAGGTTTGAATGCAGTCCTTAAAAATAAAATTTAGGGACAGTGTAGGATTGTTAGAAACAATTGATTAGACCATTCTGCATTCCTATTCAACACACAGCCAGGTTTGATTAAAAAATTATTAATTATCAAGGTGTAGCAAATTGGCCTATTACTATTAGGAAATACCTTTATTCTAATACAAACTTCATATTTCAACATAAGTTGGCATTTAATAAATTAACATTACAATGCAGTTAATTTATGTACAACCTTTCATACTTCTACCTCTGCCTAAATTTATTTCCAGCAAATTAAGTTTGCTATAATATACTACTTCAATAAAAATCAATTAAATTATATATTTTCAAGATCAAATGGAGGGTTAACATTACCATTTTAATTTTTGAATTGACAAATGTGTGTTAAATTATTATTGCTGATATTAATAATATTAGTCTTCTGCACATTAAAAGCCTATTGGAAGGGAAAACAGCCCAGAATAAACAAAAATCAACACAGAAAAGTCTAGTTCTTAAAAGAAAAGTGCACTCAAAACAAACTTTTTACAAAACTATTTAAAAAAAAAAAAAAAAATACTTTCAAAAACAAAAGTTCTTAAATTATATATTTATTGAAATATATAAAATGGTCAAAAAATTAATCCAACAAAATGCTGTGATAAGAGATTAAAAAGCCTATTGGAAGGGAAAAAAACCCAAAAAAAACAAAAATAAACACAGAAAAGTCTAGTTCTTAAAAGAAAAGTGCACTCAAAACAAACTTTTTACAAAACTATTTAAAAAAAAAAAAAAAAAAATACTTTCAAAAACAAAAGTTCTTAAATTATATATTTATTGAAATATATAAAATGGTCAAAAAATTAATCCAACAAAATGCTGTGATAAGAGATTAAGGGATTTTTTTTTTAAATTATAAATATGACATGGGAATTTTTGTAACTGCTGCTGCTTCACAAAAGATGAGCTCTTTGAAACCACTGCACTCTAGAAAATTACGAAAGATAATACAGGGTACTTTAAAGAAAATTTTGGGCCAGGCAACACACAGAGATACATCTAACAACAAGCCAAATAGACTGGATCATATTAAATTATGAACACTGTCCTTTGCAATTTCTAGCACAATCCTTGCTTAATGACAGCTTCTACTTATAGGAGGAAGGAAATATCCACATAGAAGCTCGCATCTAATCAAACCACTGCAATTATCTCACAAAGGAAATAAAAATATACATCAAAGAAATATTTTGGGGTGATGAAGTAGGAAAATAATGATCAATATAATAACATTAACGCTAAGTAATCACAAAGTTTTGACCATAACATTCCTGCATAATTCATACTAAGAGAATATGTTAAAAAAAACTAGACAATCTGATGTTCCAAAAATTGTTGCCTAGTCAATAGGCTTTTAAAAAAATAATAATAAGCGGTACTTGTTCCATTATCTTTAACTGTTATCAACCTTGTACATGTGTTGGATTAGTTCAACCACACGGTTACTGTAGCCATATTCATTGTCATACCTGCGAAATAGAAATTAGTTAAGCATTTCATTCAAAACAGTATGAAGTAAATGTGCTATAGATATTACTGAATATTGCCAGACCAGTCTACAACCCCTTTAGCATACTAGACAGCAAAGAAATTCTGTTCATTCATTTATGCTACAATACGACGTTTCACTTCATAAAATATAATTTTTTGCAAGCTTTCAATTTTATAAATTTAAATTTAGAAAGGTCCATCAGTTTTTTTTGGATATAGACCAATGCTAGTGTGAATACTTTATGACACTATCAAGGTTCACAGAAACATGCTTAATTTTTCTTTTTTATCATTACTTATATTTTGCACCTAAATGCCATACACTGCATATCAAATTCTTGAATTACAACAACTTACCATGAAACAAGTTTAACAAAGTTATCATTAAGTGCAATGCCAGCCTTGGCATCGAAGATGGAGCTTCGGTTATCTCCCAAGAAGTCCTGAGATACAACCTCATCTTCTGTGTAGCCGAGAATACCCTTCAATGGACCGTCAGCAGCAGCCTTGACAGCTTTTTTGATATCCTCATAGGACGCCTTGAGTAAATTTAAACCAACGGCTAACATTACCAGCATGATAAAGTAAAGCTACACAAATTTTAAATCTCATTAGAAGCATGGCTGTGGTAAATTTTGTTTATTAGTACCAGTAATAAAATCCTAAATATCAAGTCATAAAAATCAATTGAAAGAGTATTAAATTGACTTACGCCTTTTTGTAGACGAACAGTAAGATCTACAACTGAAACATCAGCTACAGGTACTCTGAAGGCCATACCTGTAAGTTTGCTTTGAAAAAAAAAAAAAAATTTAATAGAGACATACCAAAATTGAATAAACTTAATTTAAATTTAACATTTAAAAACAAACTTGTCAAAATATAAACTAGAACCATACCCATTAACTGCAGGAATCACTTTCCCAACAGCCTTGGCAGCACCGGTGGAGGATGGAATAATGTTCTGGGCAGCGCCACGGCCTCCACGCCAGTCCTGAATAAAGCCAATATGAAAATGTCCATTATTCTGTAATAACGAC